TTATCTTTCTTCTGACCCTTCTGGCTCCAAGATGGTTTCCAGCAGTTCCGGCTCTTCCCTCTCCTCATTCAAGTCCATAGAGTAACTCTGGACGGCTCGGCTCCGATCAGAAAACTCGAAGCACTCCAGGTGCTTTAGAAATGAAAAATGAAGCCTGCGCTCATTTTCACAGGAAATAGAGGAGCTGAGGTGAGAAAGAGGCGCACGGGTGAGACAGCCCGGAAATGAGAACAGGCCAAGGCTGCCCTGGCGCAGGGTGGAAGTTCGGGGAGCTCAGACGCCGGCCGCACCCGCGAGGCAGGCGAGGAGCCCGGCGGCCCCGCGGTCTTCACCCGAGATGCGGTGGCGGTGGCGGGAGGCAGAGGCGGGAGGGAAGCTGCCGGGCTTCTCTCTTCGTTCCGCCTCCCACTGAACGACGGACAGGGCCGGCCTGCGGTCTCCATACGGTGCAGCCCGCTGGGAGCCTCCCCGGAGCAGAGAAGGGAAGGGACAGCTTGGTTCTTAGGTGATCGCCGTGAGCTCCAAGCTTTCCACAGCTCGGAGAACAGACATTGCTTCATCTGGCTTGGGAATCTGCGGGCTAACTCCCGGGAGGGTGGAAGGGTTTGCTGCTTCGAGCTATGGGTTGTCCCTCATCCTCGGGCTCCAGGGCACAGCTCCGGGCAGAAGGCAGAAGTGCAAAGCGGCAAGCAGAAAGGTGATGTTTCCAAGGCCTGGATCGAGCGGCATCGCCTCCCACTCATTTGCACTGTCCAGGGCAAGCCATACAGGCAGGCCTCTTCTTGGTATTTCTGTCACAGGGAGAGGGTGAAGAATGTGGAACAACACAGAGCTTATCTCCTAAAAATACCCTAAGGGAAATACCTTCTTTTCTTGAAATGGGTCACATGCCCGATGCTAAACCAATTACCTGGCTACCTGGCTGCTGTCTGAGTCGCAGCTCCAACTCTGGAGCCTGAAGTGGTGTCAATTCTACCCAAAACACAAGTAAAGAGCAGGGGGCCGGGCCTCTGAGGTCGTTTGAGTACTCTTATCAAAATGTAATCGCAGCCCTTGGGAGGCTGAGGCAGGAGGATTGCAGTGAGTTCGAGACCAGCCTGGGTTACACAGTGAGTTCCAGGTCAGTCTCAACTACGTAGTGAGACCCTGTCTCAAAAAAAAAAAAAAAAAAAAAAAAAAAAAGCAGTGGAGTCTAAAAAATAACAGATACTCACTGCAGTCAGCTAACACCCAGTTGTGATGCATGATAATTTACTATATTATTTTCATGATGGGGAAAAATACATTATAATTTCATAAAAACCTGGGGAAAAAGCAAAATTCTGCTGTAGAATCAAAGAATGAAACTGGCTTCAAATTTCCACCAAAGGAGAAAGGCAAAACTCCAAAACCAGTTACTTATATCTAGTGTTTGGATTCGTTAATGAAAGCGACCGTCCACAATGCTTGTATGAACCGAAGAAGCACCACCACCAGCAAGAGGGAGTGACGCAGAAGCTGGACGAAGTCAGGAAAAAGAACAGTGTAGGGCCACACCTTTTAGGGTGCAGGACGTGCGTGAATATTTGTGCCTCCATAAAATTCATTTGTTAAGATCCGGGCCCCCCGAGGTAGTGGTTTCAGGGTGTGGAAAGCTGGGGTGATTAGGTCGTAAGAGCGGACCCCTGGTGAATGCGATTCAGCCCCTAATTATAAAAGAGACCCGGGCAGCTGACAACCACGAGCCAGGGAAGGGGACCCCATCCGACACTAAATCTGCGGGTGCCATGACCTTGGACTTCCGAACCACAGAAATCTATTTGTTCTGGTGCAGATGCTAGGATGCGATGATCAGACCAAGCTCGGACGGAGAGAGCAGGGTCTCTCATCCCTGTCATCATTGGCATTTTGAGCTGGATGATCAATGGCTCCCCTCGTTTGTGACTCACTGCGCTAGGGGAAAAGGAGAGAGAGAGAGCAAGAAAAGCCTCTATTTACCCTTCCCTCTCCATACTGCTCACAGAACTCTGGGGCGCACCTTCCAGATTCCACACAGGGGAAGGACAGGAGGCTGGGGTAGGATCAGACCAAGGGTCTCACTCGCCAGCTGCTCTGCCAAGAAATGAAGTTTTTCTGAAGTCAGCAGGAAACCACTGAGTGGGAAGAGACAGCTTAGCCAGATTTGCCTTTTGGAAAGAGAGATTCAAAGGACAGTGTGGAAAATGACCCATAAAAGGGCCTGCGAGACAAAGAGGGACACCCTTCTGTCACCAGACTGATAAGTCACATTTCATTCTTAAATCCTTATTTCTTGTTTCCTCCACTGTATCACAAAGTCCGCAGATCATGTTTCAGTCACTGCTGTCACCGCACTGCATCAAAACTCAAGAGGTTTTTAGAAACAAAACCCCATAATGCCAGCTTGTGGCAGTCCGTTTTACTTTTTCAGATGGTTGCTTTTACTGAGTGCTTGGTACTGGCATGTGCTGCTTCATAAATTTTTGTTTGTTTGTTTTATTTGTTTGTTTTTTGAGACAGGGTCTCACTATGTAGCTGAGACTGACCTGGAACTCACTACATAGCCCAGGCTGGACTCGAACTCATAGTGATCCTCCTGCCTCAGCCTCCTGAGTGCTGGGATTACAGGTGTGCACCACCATGCCCATCATAAAGTGGTTTTGAAATTATCAATCTTGACCTTCATGCTAAACCCATTAGGTGGAAATAGCAGCTGGAGACTGAGGCTCATGGATTTGAAAAACACATAGAAGTTTTTGTTGTTGGGAGAGGGGTCTCATAGCTAACTACTGGCAAGGCTGCTTCTGTGATACTCGTATCAATGATACGCATTTTTTACCAGATTCTGCCGTATTTCTTTTATGTGTGCACTATCTGATTTCAGGCTTTTACTATGCTTTTATTCTTGCTCTTTGGATTTTTCTTTTCTTTTTTTGTTTTGTTTTGTTTTGTTTTGTTTTGTTTTGTTTTGAGACAGGTTCTCACTATGTAGCTGAGACTGACCTGGAACTCACTATGTAGCCCAGGCTGGTCTCAAACTCACAGCGATCCTCCTGTCTCAGCCTCCCGAGTGCTGGGATTAAAGGCGTGCACCACCACCATGCCCGACTTCTTTGGATTTTTCTTAAAGTCTCACAAAAATTCTGTCTGGAAAAAAAAAAACATACTGATCTATTTCTGCCCACAACAAGTCTGGGCACCAAAAAGGGTAGGGTTCTTTTCTACACTAACCAAGTGGGTGTGTTATGATTCAGTTCAATTCTAACACTAATTCCCCACATTTAACCAGGGCCCTGCAGGTTGAGGGACCAGGCCCACAAGATAGTGCTCACTTTAGCTACAGTAACAAGTCCTAGGTTCACACTCGTACTTCTAGCCAATGAGTATAAATCGGGAGTATGCCCCTGTCTTCAAATTCAGTAATCTTCTAGACCAGCTCACAGGACTCAGGAAGACAGTTGGCTCACTATTGCCAATTTATGATAAAGGGCACAGTTCTCAGGGTACAGCATGAGGCCAGGAAGGGCACAGCGCTGCCACACACCCTCTGCTGGCCATCCACTTTCCAAGCACCTCCATATGTTCGCCAATCCGCCTTTCCAAATCCCACTGTTAGAGGGATTTAGCGGAGATCCCATTCCACACGCATGATTTATGAAGTCATTGGCCTTTGGTGAGTCAACTTGATCTCCGGTCCTTCTCCCTCCCCGGAGGTTGGGGATTGGGACCAAAAGTTCCGACCCTTTCATCACAAGGTTGTTCCTCCAGCAAGTAGCTCCATCCTGCATTGCTTTAGTAACATAAATTAATTTATGGCTAAATGGGGCCTTCTTATGAATACGAGAATGTGCTCCTCTCCCTCAGGGCTTCCAGGGCTCTGTGGCAGGAACTGGAAGCAAAGTCCGAATACGTATTTCTCATAGTACTGCACTCAGTTCTCCAGGCATCATGGTGTGCTTCTGCCTGCTCTCAACACCCGAATAAACCCAGATCTACAGGACTAAGCTTCTAGCTCTGTCTGCTCCGCCCCCTCAGCTCCCACTTCCCCTCCCGAAAGCGTGTGCCAGTCACCAAACCACCCTCAGTTCCTCCAAACCGGATCTTCCCTTTCAGACATTCACTTCTGTCTCGAATCTCCTTTCCTCGCCGTCCCTCTTGTCTGGTGGGCCTGACTTTCCTGCCTACTTTCTGTTAACCAACTAAATCCCTTTAAGCCGTGAACGCTGATATCTTCGTCTTTACACTGGTGAAACGGAAGCTCAGAGAAGCACCGTGCATCTTGCTGCCTCTCTCCCCAGATTACTTCGGTCTTGAGGGGAAGCCACACAATTCCAACCTTCCTCTTTCTGCTCTGCCCTTTTCAGCCTGAACCCCAGGCCCGTGGAAGCCCAGGGGAAATGCCACCTCCTCCGTGAGAGTGTCCCTGGATCCTGAGGGAGCCCACAGCAGTGTCCCCCTCACTGACTGAAGTCCCTTGCAGGCAATTTCTGGGTCCTAATTATCTTGCATCCCCCGTAGAGTTTAGCAAAAGAATCCTGAACTTGGTTGGGGGGGGCACACGACACTGAAGTCATTGTTTTCTATCAAATAGAATCCAACACATACTACACCCAAGTCACTCCTTTTTTCAATGGCTAATTATTTTTAGAACTCCAGTATTGTTTTAGAGATTTAATACACACACACACACACACACACACACACACACACACACACAACTCCTTGCTTGCTAGGCAAACTCCTTTTTAGCCAACTTCAGGAGAAAGGGAGATTTAGGCTCATTATTTATAGAAGGTGTTTTATTGTCTTCCCCATAGGATAATGGGGAGAAGAACGTAGCACAGAACAATGGAGGAAGGAAATGAACTAATTCCTGCTCTGGGGGACGTATTCAACAGCTGCATGCCCCAGCTGTGGGAGTATTTTAAAATAGCAAGACAAAATTAAAAACAATTTTGTTTTTTGGTGCCGGGGATCGAACTCTGGCCCTTGCGCTTGCAAGGCAGGCCACCCAACCGCTGAGCTAAATCCCCGGCCCTAGACAAAATAAATTTTAAAATGATACATTGTATGCACTGAAACCATACTGAACATTTTGGGGGTTTTTGTTTGTTTGTTTTTGTACCAGGGAACAAACTCAGGATGTTGTGTTTGTGAGGCAGGTGGCAGAACCAGAGCTAAATCCCTGGCCCACAATGAGCATTTTTAAGGGAGATAAGGGACCTTCAAGTCACTCTCAACTTGTAGGTGGTGCCCCTAGACCCCAATAAACAGACAGGGATTGCTTGTGGGAATATTTTGTGTGAAAACTATTAACTTTTCTGTATGCTGTTCTCTTTGCGTTTCAAAGCAAAAGGGCGGATCAGAGGGCCATTACAGACGAATGACTATTACCTTCCCTGGGGGTCTCTGGGGCGGAAACGTGCCATTAGGTCCTGTTTATCTTTGTTTAATCACCACAGGCCTCTGGGCTTAGTCGGATGGTGTCTTTCATCACCTAAAGAAATGTTTGTCAAATTTTGTGCCCACAGAAAAAAAGCCTGTTGCCATCACGCTCAGTTTATTGCCAAAATTAAACACAACTCTTTAATAAAATACATGCAATAATGGTAAGATGAAGAGCAAAATGAGGCTTCCCCAGCTCCGACAGCTAGAAGTGAAGAAACAATCCGTTTAATTAGGCAGACAGGGCCTGCCAGTCGGGGCAGAGGATTCCCTGCAGCCTTGTGAAAAGCACGCAGAGAAAGTAGCCCTACCCCACCCACCCCGTATTTACAAGTGCAGAGGTGGCACAGTGACTACACCAGTGTCGTGGGATTCTGACGGAACAGAGCGAAGGCAGGCACCGGTGTCTATTCTCGGGGTGGCTCCTCACTGCACGTCCCAGATCTCGCACAGCAGCGGGGTGAACTTGTGGTTGTTCACTCTCCAGGACATCAGCATCTCGGCGTGGTGATGGTTGAACGTGCGCAGCTCCGTCAGGCGGCCCAGCAGGCAGGCGAAGTGCTGGGGGTTCTCGGGCTGGTGGATCTTGCACAACTTCTGCAGCACTTCAAGCAGGGGCTCCTGGAGCTTCTCCACCGCCTCTCTGTCCTTTATGTACTGTCTGTCTGTTTCGCGGTTTTCAGTAAAACGACAAAGAAGCAGGAAAGCATTAACTGGGCACAATTACGGCAACGGTGACTTGTTTTGAAATGACGCTCACAAGTGCACACTTAAAACGTACGCATTGTGTTCGGTTCCACGAATCAGTATGTGCGCGCGCACACACGCATTACAGGAGTTTCGCTATCATTTGGAATGACTTGTAAAAAGACTTTTGAAGAAGTATAACCTTTTAAAAAAGACAGTATGTTCTCTATCGAAAAAATACAAGACCTCATGTATGTCCACTGCTTAGAAAAGTCTTCCCTGGCCACTAATAAAAACACTCTCCTGCCCCTTTCTTTCCTTGTTTTCTTCTTACCATTCGATTTCTGTGGCATTCGGCATCTCCTGAAGATATTTGCTTCTTCGTTTATCCCTTCCCTCCCTCCTAGGATATGAGCACAGTGAGAGCTGGTGGCTACTTAATTCCCAGTGTCCGGAGCTGCACTTAGTACACGGGAAGCGTTCACCACGCTTTTATGAAACGCTCAGGGTAATGTTGAGAAGAAGTCCGAGATGGTCACTAAAATGTTAACAACGGTTCGATCTGAACGGTGTCATTTTAGGCCATTTCACTTTCTCTTTATGTTTCTGTGTGCTCCAGATTTTCTGTGATAAGCACTATTACTACTCTCCTGAGGAAAAACGATGTAGGAATTAAAATGTAGCTCTGAAATTACCTGGAGAGAGGATAACAATGGCGGTGAGAAGAGCGTACTCCTCCTGGGTCATTTTCAATTCTCCGACACTTTTGTAAAAGCTAAACATGGGGATTATGTAGTCGTCAGAGATGCCTACGGAGAAAGGGTGAAAAATAGCAGAGTTACAGGAACGTTTTCAAGTGACTGCAAAGTGTAGAACTAACAACGCGCTGCACACACACACACACATATTAGCGCTAACCCCCACATGCACACATTCAGCTAATTACTGTGAATTACATACCGTGGCAAACACTGTACAGGAAAACAGTTAGCACAACCCTCCCGATACAGCCTAACGGCGATTTGTATGTCTTTGATTTCAGCAGTGTCGCTGTCAGCCACCACTGGGTGACAGGAAGAAACCCTGAACCGGCCAACTGGAACTTTACCTCTTCCACAGGGGCTTTGCCTTTACGATATTAATAGCTATAATCAAGGCACAGGTACCTTCTTCAGCCCAGGAGGAGGAACAACGCTGCGTAATAAATAGTCCAGCCTTCTCTGTTTCATTGAGGGGTTCCCAGGTCTGGCTGGGGCACCACACCTACCTGCCCGCTTACCCTACTAGGCTCCGCACTGGGCTGTTGTCTTCAAACTCTGTGAGTCCGAGGTCAAAGACACAGTGTGCAGGACCAACCCCTGCCCCCTCCCGGCCCGCTCTTTCTGGCACCTCCGCTCAGTGGCTGATACCCTTCTCTGCCCACTTGCCCAGGCTGACCACTGAGGTCCCGGCACATGGTCTTGTGGATTCCACCTGCTCACCTCGCTCCTCCCCACGGCTACTGGCACTGACTTGTTCAAGCTCCCACCTTTTTTCATCGGGCTTCCTGCAGTCCCCTCCTCCCTGGTCTTCCTGTCTTCAGGGTGCTTCTGTTCAATCCATCCTCTATTCAGATACCAAAATGCTCTCCCCACACACACACTGCTCGGGAACCTTTAATGGCTCTCCATGACTTCTGGCACAAAGTTTTAACTTTCTTCCTTCTAAGCTGTCCCCTGCCTATCTCACCACCCACGAAGGTAGTACATAGGAGACCGTGTTTACTGAATGCTCTGGATATATTAGGGCACTGTTCTAAGGACTTCCCGTGCTGCAGTTTCCTGCGCCCACTGCTCCTCCTCCTCCTTGATCTAGTCGCTCCTCTGCATAACTGGACACTTCTCCAGGTCACTTCCTCCACTCACTGAGCCCGTTGTGTGCGTGGCTCCACCCCAAGGAGCCCTTGGCTGGGGAACCAAGGACACGGAAGATCGTGGTGTGACTTGGGGATGAACGGAGATGAGGCTGGGTGTCCCAGGCCTGGAGATGAAAACAGAATGCTCTGTTCCTTCCTCAACCACATCTAGAAGTAAACCAGAATAAAATCTGATTCTGGATGCTTAAAAGCACAATTACCTAGCTGGGTACAGTAGAACACACCTGTAACCCTAGCACTAAGGAGGCTGAGACAGGAGATTGCTAATTTGAGGTCAGCCTGGGCTACATATCAAGACCCTGTCCAGGGCCAGGGATTTAGCTCAGTGGAACCACCACCTGCCTTGCAAGCGGAAGGTCCTGAGTTTGATCCTCAGTACAAAAAAAAAAAAAAAAAAAAAAACCCGAAAAAAAAAAAAAAAGACCCTGTCTCGAAACAACAGCAACAACAAAAGACTGCAATTACCATCTAACTTTAAACTTAACAGAAAGCTGGAGTCCAGGAATACCACATCTGGCTTCCACAGAACAGTGATTGTGATGTTGGGATCCTGAGACTATACTCTAAGTGACATAAGTCAGACGCCAGAAGTTACATATTGCATAATTTCCCTTATATGAGAAACCACAAATATGAATGAATCAAAGTGTAAAATAAAGGCAGACTTTTTGGAAATGGGGAAGAGGTTCAGGGGAAAGAAGAAGGGTGAAGGGCAAGGGCCGGGGATCAAAATGATCAAGATATGTTATACATGTGTACCAATTCTCCAAATGAATGTAAACATTATAGATTGAAAACATATAATAAAAAATGTTTTAAAGTGACTGTGATCCAGCTCTGAGTCTGACTTGGCCTTGGTCATCTTACTTAAAACTTTTTAAGCTTTAGTTTTTTTCATCTGTGATGTAAATTATAAAACACCATTAAATGAGATAATAGAGAGAGAGTGCTTAGCTCTTGGTTGGTGCATAACAAGCCCTCAAAAAATATTAGCGCTAAGCTGGGTGTGGTGGCGCACGCCTGTAATCCTAGCACTCAGGAGGCTGAGGCAGGAGGATTGCTGTGAGTTCGAGACCAGCCTGGGCTACATCGTGAGTTCCAGGTCAGTTTCAACTACATAGTGAGACCCTGTCTCAAAAAAATATATATTAGAACCAATAATCATATAATTGTTACTCAAATGAATTGAACTAACAAATTAGAGGAATTCAAACTGGCAGATCAGCAATTTGCCTCAGTATTTTTGTAGATATTAAAGGTAAGCTAAAACCTGTATCTTCTTACTGAGGTTTCTGTTTTGTTTTCAAACCTTGTAATCTTCATGATTTCTTCAGACCTCAGGATCTACCTCAATCAGTTGTAGTTACCTAAAATAATAATTCGAGGCCATGCCATAACTTTAAGTAGTACACGAGAAAATACTCAAGGCAGCTGATTTGAAACTGTTCGATGATCTTTAATGACCTAATTTGCCACTTCATTTGTATTTCTAAATCGTCAGTCATCCACCAGAAAGCTTATTGTAATTGATGTTTGCAAAAAAAATCAGGTTAAGATGTTAATGTGACTTTTCTCTTGTGCCTGTTAAAAGTGAAAAACAAGGGTAGAGACAATGTAGAAACCATGTAATAGAAGGAGTTTTTTTTAAAAAATAATACTTTTCCTACAGGAGAGATAAAATATAAATCTACCTCGGGAATCCGAGCCAGCAGTCATAACTGAACACACCAGCGAGACATCTGTAACCCACAAGTCTCTAAGGAGTGTAACAACAATACCATCCATAAGGGGGCAGCCTTTTCCTGTTTTCCTGCTTCCTCTTTCTTCCTAAACACTTGGTTAAAAAATTTGCTTCTTCATTTTTGCTCTTATGACCGATTAGCTGATTTTTGGTCACAAGAGGGGGCTATTTTCCAATTCATTTACAAAGAGTTTGCCATGTAAAAGTTTAAACTTGCAAAAAGAGGAAGAAAAACATGTTTTTTTTTTTGTTTCTGCTCCTGTTTTCCATATCTTTCCCCCTTTTAAAAAAGTCCTGTGATTGACAAATTTGTTATTGAATGATCATAAGTCTCTCACAGAATGATCATTTGGTAGAACCCACGCGATCCTGTTTTACCATGTCTTAAATGTGTCTTTCACTTGCCAATAACTTCCTAGCCTTAATTAGAAACAAAAATAAAGCAGAGCTTTCTTAGTATGTGTGACTGTGTGTAACACAAAAGGAAGCACTGGACACATTTCCTGGTGCTTTCGCCATCTCTATATTATTTGTTATAATTGATGGTCTCAAGATAGTCTGAGCATCTTGTTTAAAATGACACCATTTTGCAAAACAAGGTAATTTGAACCTTGGTCTCATCCCATGATCTGGCCGGTTTGGGGAGTGAAGGACAGCAGTGGGGTTCCAGCCCATGAGACTGAGGAGGCTACGGGCAGCTCCTAAGACGACTTCCATAGTGGGGACCCAGGAAGAGGTCATCTCGACCCTTGGCCCCGCTGACCACTGTCGCGTGAAGACGACACCTGCAATGGTTGGGGCCTCTCGATGACCCTGAGGTTAAAATCCCTGCCCCACGGACAGCTCACGAGTGGGCTGTGTTTCTGATGGTTGCTGAGCCCCTGAATAAACCAGTTCTGCTGCCATCTCCCCCTGGGTTTCTTGTTTGAGCTCACGCCTTTCCTTACTTTTGAAGGCCATGTTGAGTTAGATTTTGTTATCATCAAGCAGGAACATTCTGACAGCTCCCCTAACAAATGAGATATGCTTTTTTACATCTCCATACTTCTTCCTGTGAAACAAAATGCAGGATCCCTATTATGGTAAGACACCCGCCCATGTTCCAAGGCCAAGTTTAAATTTTCCTTTCCTTTGGATCGGTCCCTGTCACGCTGAAGCAGAATCAGTTGGGGGTAGCAGTGAAAGTTAGCCAGGGCCTCATGCATGCCAGGCAAGAGCTCTGCCACTGAGCCTTGTTAATTTTATTTTTGAGACAGGGTCTCAAGTTGCCCAGGTTGGCCTCGAACTTGTGATCCTCCCGATTCAGCTTCCTGAGCATCACAGGTATCCACTAGGCTAATTAGTCACTTTCTTCCCCACATTCAGTTCTACGACACCTATCACAATCCGTATCTCTCCTTCCGCCTGGAGTGTGAACTACAGAAATGTTATGAGAGCAGGCACCAGTTAGAACATCTCCAGTGACTGGCCTGCTGCCTGGCCCACGCATCCCACTGAGGGCATGGTGACCAATGATTGTCAAGTTAAGTACTCGTGGGTTTGGCTTGTTCCTCATGAGAAAGATGGCACAGTTGGAGAGGTGCTGGGGTATGAGGCGTGGTTAAGACAATGCGCACATTTCTGCGGTGTCACGAGGTATTTCAACCTCTAAATTCTACCCGGCCATCATCAACCCCCAGGCTCTTGGCTCTCAGTGGGGAAAAAAGTTTTCATCAAACCGGCAACTCCAAAAACTAGTTGTAATGCCAAAATATTTAATAAATAACATACTTCGCATTATTCCTAGTGGCTAAAAGTCATGTGGGCGAGTCAGCTCGCGCTGCACGTAGCTCTTTGCCAAGTTCCAGATCTATGCCAGCACGCTCCACCAGTGTGTGCACCTGCTACGGTGCAGGCCACGCGGTAAGGCTGGGAGTACAGGGTCCTCTGGCCGTCAACAGGTTAATAGAAGAGACGGATGTAAAAATAACCATAATGTCCAAAACTGAGTGAGTCAAAGGCCTTGACTTGGGGATCACAGCTGAGAAACAACAGGCTCTGCCCAGGGGCAATGGAAACTTTCATATTCCTTTAAGACTTCACTTCATCTGAAGATGTCTTCCCAGAATTAAACCTCACACTGCCCAAGAAAAATTATGTGACCTCTCTGTATA